TTTGTTTTTGATGTGCAACACACCAACACAGTCGATATACAAAGGATTCATCAAATCATATCGCTAATGTCAGGAATACAAAGATAGGGCATACAGTATTTAAAAATTACTTGGGAAAAAACTAGAATCAAAACTGAACAGAATTCGAATTGGTAAATCCTCCACACCGTAGTAATCACTTAGAGATATTGTTTTCTCTTTGGAATGACCAATTACACTCCAGAGCCTTTTGACATTTTCTATTGCTAGCGAAATAATTGTGTTATCGAAGAAAACGTGCTTAAATGCCCTACCTTTGTTTTTAAACAAAGGTGCAATATGATAATAACTAGGTCAGTGGTATTGCATATCACTGCTTGGATCTGCAAAATATCGGCTTTCTTGTTTGTTTAAAACACGTTTTAATGAAACACTGACCCAAGGCGAACGATGACTGCAAGACATGATGCGTAAAGGTGTGTATCTATTGACTAAACAATTCACCTTGTCTTTAAAAAGGGACCGGTTTGTTTAAATAGTTCAATTGGCGAATTTCGGCATGTATACGGTCCAAAAACGTTGCAAGTTCGCTTTAAATTGATTCAAAGTTGGCCTTGCTGTAGACCCTGATATATATTGTTTCTGCGTTTTTTTTTTTTCCACTGAACGGCATACACAGCTCCCTTTACAGAAAAATAAATAAACCAATGGTCACTTAGTCCTCGTAAGAAAATCAATTAATAAACTAGGTGCAGGAGAGTTTAGTATAAAATCAGGTATATTGGCACACGATGCTGAATTTCGAGTAGGCTGAGTTTGGAGCTGGGAAAATTTTAAATCTAAGCAGACGTTTACAAATGATGTGACTTCCCTTGATGAATTTTTGGCACGGATTTATCAATCTTCGAGGACACTTATTCTGGAACACATGGGTGTTCGCGTAATGTACATTTAAGCAAAGGTCCCAAAGTCTTAAAGGAGCTGTGCAACGATATTCAATTGGAATGTATCTCTCTATACACGAGCTTACTGGCACACCTGGGACTCAAGGATACTCACACGCAACGCCATTGGCCAAGAAACTCCTTTGTTGCGGTGTAATTTCAAGGACAAAAGCGATCCTTTTCATTCAATCTCTCCTTTGCAAAATTTGATGACGTAACTCGGGGGTCCCAGTACACCCAAGTGACGATATTTGAATGCGGTTCATAGATTGGACCCGAGCATTGCGTGGGCACTCGACTTGGGCTCGTGACAATTGCTAGCTCGAGAAGCATTCGGGTTTTGACCCGTGTCCAATCGCTGCAACGACGACAACAGCCGAGCCATAACAATGCCTGGAACTCAGCGCGTGTCCTGCGCTTTGCCAACCCCAGCGCGTGGCTATGATCAACACTGGCGGCATATAATCGGCTCCAGATCACGTGGCCGCTTGTTATGGCTGCGAGTTGAGGGGGTGAACGCTGCTCGTTTTTCTTAAATTTTTTTCTGGAACTTCTATTGCGTGGGGTTAAAAACGAACGCGTGTTTCATAGGTCATTAACGTTAGGGATCCGTTTTAAGCGGTATTTGCGCAAAGTACAAATATTGTTGCATTGGTCCTTTAAGAGAAAAGTGTAGTGAGTAAGCGATTCAACGAAGACGATACGGAAAATTAAGTCATTAGAAAAGGTAAGGGGGAAATTCACAGAACAGAAAAACATTGTAATTTGTCCGTTATTGGCGACGAGATGTTTAGGTGACGCCACCTCGCGGGCGCCCTGCTGTGACGGAGCTGGTAGGATTCGAGCAGACGATGCTGTCTCAAAGCACGGAGTGGCTATGTTAGTTCTCATCTATGCCAATGAAAGACGGTATATTTATTAAGAAACGTGTACGATATTTTTGTGAGTGATCTTTCTAATGAACAATAGCGCCTCGAAGTTGCTTTTTATATTTAAAAAACTTTCAAATGTTCAAAAACAAGCTAGGTGCTTCACATTACAGCTTGCACGGCGTGCGTCAGGGCTATTCACAATCTCTCCGATTCTTTTTTTTTTTTTTTTACAGTGGAGCTGTTAAGGGCTAGACTCCCCGGGATCGTCTCCGGTACCAAACAAATGTCGACACAAAACTCTGGACAGCTACCGCCATCTATGAGCGACGGCGGTAACCAGACAACCGGTTTACCGGCCTCGCTCATAGGTGGCGGCAACCTTTCCAGCCTTTCCATTCTGGTTTTACCAGAGTGGGAAGGCTGAATTTCTCTAGGCGTCGTCCTAGATGCCGTCCTCGAGTTCGTCCTACAAGTCGTCCTTGAGGTCGTCCTAGACGTTGTCCTTGAGGTTGTCCTCGAGGTCCTTCTAAGGGTTGTCCTAGCAGTCGTCCTTGAGGTCTTCTTCGAGGTCGCCCTAGAAGTCGTCCTTGAGGTTGTCCGAGAAATCGTCCTTAAGGTCGTCTGACCATAGTACAGCTTCGCTGGTCTTCCTTCTTCACCAGAGTGGAAAGGCTGAATGTTCTTTGGATCAGTGAAAGCCGCTGTAGAAAAAGGTTTTGTAAGCACCAGAACAAATGACGTGTTGTCTTCTTAGCTGTGCACGCGCGAACAGTTGTGTTGCAAAGCGCCGCACACTTGTTTTAGCTACAGTGAGCTTGCCGGTATACCAACGCTTCTATCCAAGTGTGACTCGACAGTTGCTGCCGAGCAAATGCTCGTGAGCAACTGACACTTAGCTCCTCCCCAATCGAATACGTGGGAAGGAATAGTGCCAAATCGTGACGTCTGCTCGAGAGAAAAGCAGAACTTTTCATAAATTCTTAAATTGTCGGACATGAACGGGAAATTCAGGTGATAGATTAATTTGGCTCTGTCCAATTTTTACTAAGCATTGTTTACAAATTTAAAACCGCGCGCTGAGAAGCGCATCACGCGTTATGCGTATTTGGGTTCGGAAAAATTAAACATACAAACGGTAGTAATTCATAGCAGATGTATTCCTCATTTTTTGGGACGCTAAAGTGTCACCGACTTACTAGATTTTAGACTTCAATCGCGAGGGGGTCTCGCATGTTTTGCGTCGACCGGGTGAATAAGCATGAATGTAATTGAAACGACTCCGGAAGCCAGCCACCGCTTTTTCCTGCCAGTAATTGTAAGGAAATGTTTGTTAACTGTTTTACAAAATTAAGAAAGGAATCAACTTGGAACTAGCTAGAGACCAGCACACACAAAACTCATTGGAACCAACAGGATACACGGAGTCGCTTCCACTGATATGTTTGCTACACACGCGAGAGGTTCTCAAATTTCGCTTTTCTATCTTCAATTTTATGAGACATTCCTTCTTCAGGTCTTTTCTGTCCGAATCTTTATAACAAAAAAAAAATGCACCTTATTCGCCGTGGTAAATGTTGTAATGGGGTAAAGCGATGGATATTCATTTTGATCACCCAGCCTGTTGTACTGGAATAAAGAACAGCACACCACACCCCAAGCGCTTCGACCCCTCAGCGTCAAAAGTGTTTGTTACCACGACTGCGCGTGCCACGGTTTCAAGCTTTGGTAAAATGTCCTATTACAATTCTCACTTGACCAAATAAACACAAGGCGTAAATCAGGCTTTGCCTCGCGTTACCCAAACAGCGCGTGAAGCGAGTTGTCCAAGATCTTAAGTAGAAATTTCAAGTTTTTCATTTCTACCTTTTTACTCTGGTAGGTTTTCTCAATAAAATTTTGTACCCTTTATGCACGTATTTTGGTCACCTCTGTACAAACTCTGAGCTCATTATGTTCGCGAGCCGATTTACGGGGTCGCTTACAAACGTGACAAACGATAATGATGTTGATAACTAGAGAAGCGCCCCCTCGTTCGCGAAAGCCGCCATAATACAGTATAGTAATAAGTAATAAGTGCAGTAGTGTTATAGAATATTTTGAAAGCAAATCGAGTGTGTTATTTGAAATTACTACAACTGATTTATAAAAGAAAGTTCTGCGTTAATGCCTGCGAAACAGAAACATCGTGGTGTGGGTGGCATCATGTTGCACGAAGGACACCTCATACCCGGACTAATTGCGGAAAACAGAGTTCACACTATAAAATAATTAACTTAATTCGTAGCACACGTGATATAAACTATACACAATCAGTTACAATATTTAAAAAATAGAGCATTATTGGTAGGCAGCGATATCATTCCATAAAATGTGAACTATATATATTGTATTGTAAATGTCAAATTGTGTGTGAAGTTTCTCTTCTTGATGCTGTACAATATGCTTTCCGTTGTATGTCTGTGGTCATACATTCTGTGTTATATATGCCGTTATATGTTTACGGCCACATATCTCGTGTATTTTGCGCTGTTTGTTTTCTCGTTATTTATATATTTTTATGTCAACAGAAAGAGGCCGATTACTATGTTTGAGTTTGTAACTTTGAGCTGAATGCATTTCTTTTTTGGTTAATTAATGTAGGCACTTACGTGAACTGTCAGAAACCATTGCTTTATCGGGCTTCTTACCTTTTGCACTGGCGCCTCTAATTCCGACAAGGTCCGAAAAAATAAACGGAATAAATAAAAATAAAATGGCGGCAATGATTGTCAAAACATTAGTTGAAACATGTGCTAGTTCTGATTTCTAATAGCAATAAATTACGTTTGAAAAGCATATGACATGTGACAAAAGCATAAAAAACAGCGACGCGGTTGAAAAAGAAATACTGCAATGGGGTTAAAAATAACTAAAGATTAAGGTAACCCAATTAAATGTAAACCGGAAAGCCACCGAACATATAAAAAAAAGAAACGAGCGCAAGATATATTTGGTGTGTGCCCACTCAAACGAGCCCAACTTGGTATCACGACGGGAGCAACAACTCACCAAAAATCGGACAACACCGGTCGCCGCCATTTTGCCGTGGGAAAGGTCTCCGGCGAGGAGGAGGAGGAGAGAAAAAAGAAAACGAGGGGAGGAGAGGGTTGGACGCAGAAGGAAAGGGTGAGTAAATAACGCTCCGAACCAGGCGGGCTTTCTGGCCAGAAGCCGAGAATGCGCTCTCGATGGACGGACTTCGTCGCTCCCGTCTCCGCGTCGAGTTTCGGGTAAGGCGTGATTTTCCCAACTCCTCTTATAACAAATTCCGCTCAACTTCGTTATGCTTTTTTTCTTTTTTAATGTATACCTACGCAGTTGCGTTGATAGTGCGTCCGGTGTATAAACTATAACGCCGTTTACAAATAAGTGAACTGTCTGAGTGAAGTGAACCGTCTGAGCATGCGACGCGCCGACAACAGCGGTACCGTAGCGGGACGTCGGAACTACGCGCTGGTGTATAGTCCTTAAAAGCTAACGTCATTCTAGAGATTAATCCCGTATTCACGTAGTTAACGAGCTAGGAAAAAGAAAATGAATTCTTGTATGGTCCGTATATCCGAGGTAGTCCGGACCGCGTAATATTTTAACTTTTAAGCGTGCATAGCTTGAGGACTATTGTTCCCGAAAAATACGTATATGATCCTGTATTTCTATTTATTCAAGTAGCTTCTGCCCTTTACGGTGTCGAATCTTATATACGGTTGTAAGCTGACTGATAGCGCATTGATGTGTGCTGGCCGTTTATAGTTGTGCGCTGCGAAAACGTATATTAAAGGGTATCAAAAATGTGTACTAAGAGAGTAAAAATATAGACCAACACGCGGTCGTGACGTCACACCTCAGCGGTGGCGCTGTTGTCGCCACGGCGCATGCGCAGGAGCTCCGCCTCACGGGAATCTGGTTTCTGCGCTTGCGCAGTGCCCACACCTGGTGTGGGCAAACGCGGGCTTGCTTGTAAACAGTGTGTCGGTCTATAGTTATGAATATAAAGATATTCGCCTTACATGCTGCTTGTAGCCGGAGGTTATTATGCACACTCATGTGCATCTTACTTATGGTAGTATTTGTGGTCTGTAGTTGTAGAGCCCGTGTAGCCGTACATGTTATGTACTTTCGAGCTGACAATTTTGTTTGGGACGTTTATATGTCTTGTCATACTCCTACGGTTTCTATACATGGTTTAAATGTGTTGTTCTAGATAGTTACGCGTGTGCGTTACAACTATAAGGTAATAAGTGTAGCTTGCATAGTATAGTATTGCCCACCACTGGATTACATCTTGATATTGTTCAGAACACTGGCGTATTCAAAAAGGAGAAGAGGGGGAACTGAGCCCCCCCCCCCCCCCCCCCAAAAAAAAAAAAAAAAAAAAAAAAACATGCCTGGTTGCGCCACTGGGTCAGGTGATAATTTTAGAGTAAGACCACTAAACTTGCTGAATCTTTAAAGTAAATATGCGCAGATACCCAAAATCTGTGAGTGACTGTTCACGGTAACCGAAATATTTCGTTGCCTTGCGCATTGGTTAGTTGGCAGCTGATGTAGTTAGTACGTATACTGAGCAACATTGTTTGCACAAATAGGACATCGCCGTTTATTTTTTTTTTCTTAAAATCGAAAGGCTATCAACTGGCGCCGACGAATATACTTGGATTCGCGTTTGCGGCCAGTGAGTGCCATGGCGGGCACCTATCATCGCTTGCGAATGACGAGTTTCATGGTGTGCTCAAAGAAAACAGTGGAGGCTTGGACCGCGTGATTTCTTATTTCGCTTTTGACTTGAAGAGGAAAGCTATGGGGGAAGAGGTTAAAAACTTATTTCATGGTTCCTTTAAAGAAAGTTTCGTATCTGCTCTAACAGTATCGTGCTGTGTACCTTGCTCCCTATGCATTGGGAACATTGCAGACATAGCTTAGTGATACATTTGGACAACACTTCTATTTCCGCGTCGCGTTTGTTTTGTTGTTTCTGAAAAAAAAAACATGAAGAAACCAACACAGGAGCGTTTGCTTACGTTTCATTATGTTAGGTATGACTAGAGTTCCGTGTTTTCGGATAAATCCGAACAACTCCGAAAAACACCCGCTGGTAAAGTTTTAGTCAGTTCGGGTTTTTACGTTAGAGTCCGAATTCCGATGTACCAATTAAAAAAAAAAAAAAACTATTTTACATTCCAGTTTGGACAGAGCACAGGGTCAATGGTCTTGAAAAAAAAAAAAAATGTCACCCCCGTTTTGTTTCAAAGATCGGGCCATTAACAAAAGGACTCTTACCGCTTATCTCGTCGAGATTCATCAGGACAGTAAATCACGACAAAAGCAACTGTTCCGGTTTCTAGTTTGAGCCATACTGTATGCTACTTTAGAGCAGTGATCTGAAACTCATTTGAGCGTGGGAGCCAGATAGCCCACGCTGGAAAGGCCGAGGGCCAACTTTAGATGGAGGGGGGGGGGGGGGGGGGGGGGGGCAAAATATTAAAAAGAGAAGAGACCTCGTGCTTTCTGCTTTTTGTAAACTGAGGTTTCCGGTGACATCTTTAGATTTGATTTGCTTATATGAAACTTTGGGCCTGGCCTCATGTGGCAGCAAGAATTAAAATGACACTGCCCAGCCAACTTGCCCGCATTTTTAATAGAACAGATACACTGCCATTCCCGTTGTTCAATTCACTCGGGAATTAATCAAGGTCATCGTGTTGCCCAAACAACAAACATTTAGTTTGACATGTCTTGCTTCCCTAACGATTTTTATTCCAATACCATGAAGAAATGCCTGTGCTTTATTGATAACATTTTTTTTTTTGTAAGGAGAAAATTTTGAGCTCGTAACCTTATCTTTGGGAGTTGCTCCTTCTGTTCGAGAGATCGCGCAGTCCAAATGCATCCTTCAACAACGAGGTCGTGCTTGTAGCCTATAGAGCGGAATCGTTGCACATTACAAAAAGTTGGGAAGCAACAAATCAAGCGAAACAAAGGGCGAACGAACACAGATGTGTAAAACCATGTGAATACTCTAAAAGAGCGGAGCTATATTTTTCGAGCGAAAATGAATCGGCGAGATGCGATCATTATGGTGCATGTCATTTCTGGCGCTCGTTACATGGGAACCGGAACCGGAACTTCGGGCCGCGCGTTTGAGACTTCTGTCTTAGAGGAAAGAGGGGAGGGTTCTAACAGTGACAGCTGTGAACCATAGAGATTTCATAGAAGAGGGGGGCGGACAGTTGAAGCTTCTATATTACACCCTTTACCACGCCACGCAGCCGCGGGGTAGGTTGATAGATAGGACGGGATGAATACGAGCTTCCCAGCAACTACTTTCGGGAGTTCATTGATTTTAAGGTTCCCACGTTTATCGAAGGAACACTTGTTTGCAACTTTTGTCGTAAGACAAATTAGTATTGCCCATGCCAATGGCGCCAACGCAAAATCCAGCCGAATAAATATGATTTTATTCAAGCTCGATCGTTCTTTTGGATGTAGCACACGTATTCACCCGTATATGTTTTCTAATAAAAACACCGTAAAATTAAGACCTAAATATCTGAGAATAAGGTTCCGAAGAAAACGTGTCGTGAGATACTTACTGTCTGCCACGAGCAACAGTTTTGACGGTGCTATACAAATGTGGAGAACGCTCCCGTCAGCAGGTGCTTAGGCAAAGTCGTATGTGTGAACAGGCCTTTTTGGTAAAACGCTATTCACGCTAAAACCGATATTAGGGAGTTTTCGTAGATCGTTTTCGCCGTCCCGCAAGGCCCTCCGCAACCCGCTACGTTAGCGGGAACTCCACAGTCAAGGCTATCGGCGCGCAGGCGCAGTAGCAACTTCTTCGTTGCGGAACGCTTAGCGGAGGGGGCACCGCGGTCTACGAAAACTCCCTATTAAAAATGGGAAGTTTTCGTAGATGGTTTTCGCCCTTCCCGCAATGCTCTCCGCAACCGGCTTCGATACCCGGAACCCTACAGTCACGGCCATCGGCGCGCAGGCGCAGTAGCGGCTTCTTCGTTACGGAGGGCTTAGCGGAGGGGGAAACGCGGTCTACGAAAACTCCCTAATGCTAACCCCAGCTTCTCAGCGGGCGTTCAGCGGACCGACTGTTTGTCAAGCAACATGGCGCCCTGTTGTCATCTTCGTACTCCACTTCTAGGAGGTTACTTGTTCGTGCTGCCACTTCTTCAGCAGTATTTCTCTGCTGCGTTTTCAGCCGTCCCATCGGACGATTTCTACTTGTTATGTTATGCTTTTAGCGGCCGTAGTTCGGAAGTGCTTCTCGGCGATCGCGTACGAAGATTATTGACTCCCTGCTCACTCAAGCGCGTCGTGGTGCCGAAGGTGGCGTTCGATGGCCGTCATAGTTTAGTCCGTCCCTGGTCAGCGCGAGTTTACGATTAGCTTCCACAGAGCTTCTGCAGCGTACATTGCACACCACCAAGATTGTAGTTCTTCTCAGAAGATAAACGGGGGTGATTGTTCTCAGACTGCGCTTGGCCTGCGTTCATCGTGGCAAGCTCGCTTTTCGACCGGCAACTTTACTAATATTCGCTACGAATGTTTGATATTTTCGAAGCAAAGAAGGAAAACGGCCGTAGCATTCTAGCTGACTGATCGGAACTGCTCTTGAGACTAGGCCAGTCGTACATTTTGCGGTACCGCGGTGCGAACTTTGCGTCTTACGATGGATGGATGGATGCTAACGGCTGCACCCTCTGTGTTGGCCGGCAGCTTGCGCCACCTAGCCTAGTTGTACGTCATAAATTCTCCCTAGATATAGTTTCCACTAGTCTTCCAATCTCCTCTTATTATGCAGCGGATCACGGTGTGCTCGAGTCGGTACTTTCGGTTTCGCCCCCCCCCCCCCCCCCCCCCCCCCCCCCCGACACAAAACTTGGGGATAGGATATCTGAAGGTTACACAGGGCAACGAAGAAGAAAAAAAGTACACCTCGTAATCCCTAGACCTCCCTCCACGCCGAAAATATAGTTGTCGGTGATCGGCAATTACATTTCTCGAGTGACAGTCATATCCCTGAAATTGGCAAATGCAATTTCCAAGGAATTAGACTTACTTACACGCGGGACACTGAAAAATTATCGAGTAAAATTTCTCTTTCTTATTGTGCTCCGGGGTTTGAGTGCGATATCTCGGGGACCTTTGCGTCCATTGGAAGTTAGAGCAGCGCAGGAAAGTAAAACACTGCTCTCTCCGTTACATCGGGATGACTTCA